CAGGCCAGGTGTTATAGGGAGGTCATAGAGGGAGGTGGAGGCCACTCCTGTTCAAAGGGAGTTTTTCCTCTCCACTGTCGCTACAAGCATGCTTAGTGTGAGGGATTGCTGAAGAGTCAATGAGTCGATGCAATCAGCTGGTTTTCCTTAGATTGAAAACTTTGAATCAATCTGACTGGATGATCGATGAACTGTAAACCTGAGATTACATGATGTGAATTGGAGCTATAGAAATAAACTGAGTAGAATTATTTATTTCATGTATTTTATTATTTGATACTTTATATTGTTATTTATATTATATTTAACATGTTTAGTTTTTTTTAACAACTTGTTTTTCACCTTGTTGCTGGTAAACACATTTCTGTCTATCGTCCAACTGCAGGACGATAGACATTGTTCTATTTAATCCTATTCTATTCATACTCGTCTTCCCTCTTATCTGCCGGCAGGTCGCCTCATGTACTCCTACAGGTAAAAGATGCCAGGATCACCTTCTGGCATCCAGGGTGCATCTTCAGCTGCCTCCTCTTGATGTGGAGAAGAAGAGACTCTCCCTAATGACCAATCTCCTCACCCTATCTATAAGGGAGAGCCCAGCCACCTTGTCAAAAAGCTAATTTCAGCCATGTTTATCTGGAATCTTGTTCTCCATTTCTTGACCATTGCTGAGGATAGAAGCATTGATGATAAATCTCTTTACACTGAAAAACGATCTAGAAATAAGTAAAATTTTCTTAAATTAAGTGTATTTATCCTAAATCTAAGTAGGTAAATAAGTTCGCCAGTGGAATGGGTATTCTTACTCTTAAAATAAGATAATTAGATAGCAATTGCATTATCTTATTGTTCTATTGGCAAAATGTCTCTTTTACCTCATCAATCCAAGAACAAATGCACCTATTTTAAGAACAAATAAATTAGATTAAAATTTTTTCAGTGCACTACAGCAGACCAGAGCAGCCTCCCTATTAGGGCTGCAGCCACGCAAACCAGTCTGTCAATCTCCTGCTTGAGTCAGAGGACACAGCAGAGCAAACGCTGATTGAATGATGCTGTAATAATGGAGAATGCTTGATTAAACCCCTGATTTGCTAAGCGTATTGCATATTGCCACATAAACTCCAGAAGACTGGCCAACTCATGCAGCTTAAAAAGGAACGTCACAAAATGTACAGGAAATGTCACATTCATAGGTGCTGAATAGAAATAAATTGACGTGCAAAAATAGATCTAAAAATGAGTCAAGAATTCTTTAAATACGTTTAACTGTCCTTCATATGAGCAGGTCACTAAAATGATCTGCAAATGGAATAAGCATACTTATTCCTTAGATCATTTTACTCACCAGGTTTAAAATACTCTTATTTGAAAACAAATAAGCTACAAAGATAAAGTAAGAATTAAAAGCCTTTACTTTTTAAAGGAGCTACACTGTGGTTTAGGGCCGTATATAAACCGTTTCTATGTGGTGCTGATCTGCATGCAGTCGTCAGTTGGAGGCGGGGCTGCTGCAGTGCTCTGTATGCAGGAATCAGGGTGTTCCTTCCCCTTAAACCTTATCTGGTTGAACATTTAGGCCCCGTCCACACGAAGTCAAAACGAA